AATATGTAAGTATGGCCGGATTTGGCCTTTGGCAAGAGCTGCATTAGAAGCCAGGAAAATAACATGAGCCAAAGCCCAAGAAAGGACTTCACCTGGCCTCCCAAAACAGACCTGGGTACAAAGAATAGCAGTTCAAGTGCAGAGGACATTGTCCTGGAAAGATAAGATCAAAGTGTTGGCAACAGACAGAAGCTAGGTTGGAGTCTAAGCAAAGGTCACTGGGACACCAGCTTTGTGTAGTCCACAACCAGCTCTGAGAGACACCATCCACTCCAACAGTTCACGAGAGGGGATACATCAGAAGCGTGTATATGAGTTTGTAGACATAGAGTTCAACTTTCTCAAGGGTGGTTGTCAGATGAAAAATTAAAATGAAGACAAGATGCCATACTGCCTTCCCTGTGCTATGCCCTCTGTTAGCATGAAACAGCAGGGACTCAGGAGGAATGCCAGGGTCTTTCTGCCTATATGCAAATTTACTAAGCATTCTGCACAGAAACAGCAGTCACTTATTTATCAACTGAACAAATTGACTGCTTGTATGCCCATAGGCCTGTATGTGATTTGTCTCCATTAACAGATGACCCCTTGCTACAAATCTAGCCAAGTTCTCTCTTATCCATCCATCCATCCTACCACCCACTCATCCAGCAAGCCCCTGCCGTGGTTACAGAATTTCATACCAAGGATCCATGTTGGGGCTGGAGCTCCAGAAAATAAAGTCTTTAGGATAGGGGAACCAACTCACTCTAGTGCTAGTATTAAGTCTGTAACAAGGGGTCCTTGGAGCTTTGCTACACTGAACAGATCTTTCTCTGAGATGCTAGCAGGATTCGGCAGATGCCAAGTGTTTGAGGGCTTCAGATCCAAAGGGAGATCTCAGGGCCTTGAGATCTTTTTCCATGTACCTCTCTCTTCCAGGGTAAGTGGCATCCCTCCTGATGTTCTCTAGCACTGTCTCAGGAGGAGACTAAGCGAAGTTGCAACCCTGCCTGGGGACAGCCACACACTTTGCAAACAGGTTGGCTGCTGCCTTTCTTCTCCTGCAGAAGGACTCGGGCACTCGGAACTTGGAATCAGTCCCAATGTCACATGTAAAATGAGTCATCAGAATCAAAGGATCATGCATTATGGTGCTGAGTGCTATCAGTGTGCTTTTGAGTTGAATGTGTGTGTGTGTGTGTGTGTGTGTGTGTGTGTGTGTGTGTGTTGTGGGGAGAGGGCAGGATGATGGCAGGAGACAAACATTTAAATTTTGTCTTGCACATACTTAATGGAAACAGGGGGCTTTTTCTGTAATCATTGAACCTCCAGAAATTTTGTGTGAAATTGGAAAGACAGGCTGCGTAGTCCTCCCCAGATCTTCAGGAGGCCAAAGGGAGAACAAAAATCACAGATCCAGAATTTGCTGGTGACTGTGGAAACCCACTCCCCACACTGTCTTCCTGATTTCATTTCCTAACACCCAGGGCCTCTCTTGCCATTCAGATGCACTGGCTGGCCACTGGAGAACATTGGCTCTTGTCTGAGCCAGTTCTGCCACCTACAGCATGCAGCCCAGCAATGCCTTCGCCTCCCAGACAGTAGAGCCTCATTTGCATATATGAATAAGGGGAGGGCCCTCTCCATCCCAGGAACACAGGATTGGAAGGAAAATGGCTTTGGGGATTCTCAATTAGCATTCAGAGAAGCATGATCCTTTGGGGCGGGTTGCAGTGCTGGGAAGACATTTTTACATTAAAGGGGAGGAAAACACATTTGGAGGATTTACACCTAAAAAAATTGTGTTACCCAAAATGCACAGAGAAAGGACACTGTTAAAAAGAGGGATGCTAGATGCATGGCTAATCACACTAACAGCAAACCTCCCATTCTGAAGCCTGTGTGAGAACCTTCATCTTTTTTTGGATCCAGGCAGAGAGCCTTTGCCATCTACCTCGTCACATAATGATAATCACTCTCGCTTAGGCAGAATGGAATTTTCTAGGATGCATGAACCGGAAATGCAAGGTGGTTTCTCTTTGAGGGCAGAGATTACCATATTCTTTCTTTGTGTCCACAGTAAGTAAGCAGAGATCCTGACCCTTAGGAGGAAACTCAGGAAGTGCTTGGTGATTTCAAGAAATAGAAACGTGACTCGTCCTGCTGCCTATTCTGTGCTTGTTCATACACAAGCATGGTGTCCATATACTGTTAAACTCATCATCATGAGCTGTTGCTCATGTTCACTCAACATACAAGATGGGTACTGGATGACTATGAAACGGAGATCATTAAAAACTCACCCTTGCAACAGGACCCATCTGCATCTCCAGACTTCTCAGCTTGTGAACCCTGTTCCATCCCCACCTGCACCATGAATGTGTATCCATTCAGTGTTAGTGAACCTAAAGGAATTAGTTGGGAAACAGTTTTGAATTATTATTTAAAAGTATTCCCCAGTTTTCAGACTTTACCTGAATGCCTTTCTTATTATGATTATGTAGTAATAGATGGAAACATGTTCTCAGCCTGTCTGAGATAACAGCGCTGTTTCTTTGACAGATAATCCATTCTCAAATCTACCTCTAGAGGTGATTGTGACACCTCTCGGTCGTCTAGCCTAGGATGCAATGGTGCCTGGAGAAGGCAGCGAGGTTTGTGCAATATGCAATACTTGTATTTTCAACAAGGAATTTTTAAAGATTTATTTATTTTCATTTGGAAAGAAGACTTACAGAGAGAAAAAGAGAGAAGGAGAGAGATTTTTTCCATCCACTGGTTCACTCACCAGATGGCTGCAGTGTCCAGAGCTGGGCCAATCCAAAGCCAGGAGCCAGGGACTTCTTCCAGGTCTCCTATGAGGCAGCAGAGGCCCAAGGATTTGAGCCATCTTCCACTGCCTTACTGGACCATAAGCAGGGAGCTCAATTGGAAGAGGGGCAGCCAGAACTTTAACTGGCATCCATATGGGATTCAGGTGCCACCCCCCACAACAAGGAATTCTTAATGTAAGATACACATGTAGAGTCCTCACCATGTTGGACAATGGACCTAATTTTGTAGTAATGTTGCCTCTTTCACAGGATTTTCTTATGATACTTGAGGTTTCAAAAAGGGATGCAAAGTAGACAAGAAGTTGCACACGACTAAAGTGCCATCTTACTCTATTGAATTCATTAGGATGGTCTGTCCAGAGTTGAACAATTTTGTCTGTGTTGTGCATGTTACATTGTGTTGTCTGTGATTTGAAATCTTGCTATCTTCTTCCAGAGAAAAAGCCCTTAAAACTAGTTTTAGTATATGTGTACCATTGATAGATAAAGGTAAAAAGGACTGAAGGATCATTCCAAGGAAAGATTGCCATGCTCAGCCTTCAGAACAGAGCATGAGATGATGAGAAGGATGGAGTGAGAGCTAGCAATGGCTGGCGGTTTGTGCTTGTCTTGTGTTTCTATATTCTAACAACCACAGTCTACAGGACAATGGGCTTCACTCTGTAGTAGCGTCTGTCAGAATTTCATGGGAAAGTGAATTTAGAAAGCACCGACTCAGGACTCCACTTCCAGAGCCAGTAGTAAACCAGAAAACACAGAGCTAGGGAGTGTGCATGGGACACAGGCCACCTGATTCTGAGGGGCGTGTTCTTCACCATACTTTGTGCGCTGGCCATCTGGAAAGGTCTCCTGGCCTGTCTACGAATCACTCCATAAAAGGAAACATTCATGTGAGCCAAATCTAGGAATATGGTTAAAAGGCATGGTCTCAGTGTTCCTGGAAAAGACAGCTTAGAGGAAAATATTTCAAAGAGCGAATGAGGCTGTCTGTGGACCACAGAGGGTTGGGTGCTGTGGGAACTGGTGGAGAGGCACCAACTCTGCCTGCATGTGGAGAGGTGTATCTGGGAGGAAGCCATCAACTGGCAAGCAACCGTATCTCCATGTGGGGTCTGTGCGTCAGCCAGGGCAAAGGGAGGGAAGAAGTCCGAGAATGAGAAAGTTGAGTGAACACAGAGCATTTTGGCTCAAGTCAAGGGATGGCTTGGGAAATGGGATGGGGTCTAGCAAGGAAGGTAGCCATTGAAGCTGCAGATTGCACATCCATCTTTCATAAGCAAGTGAGGCTTTTTCACATGGACAAGTGCATTGCCGATTTTTGTAGCGCTCTGATTGCCACAGTGATGAGGTACCCTTGCCACGGATGGTCCCTGTACCCATGGCTACTGTCCTCTCAGTGCATTGGTGTTCTGATAAGCTTCCCCATGAGAAGGAATTTGGAAAAATCCAAAACAATCCTGAATGCTTTCACCTTCTTGTTTCACTCGTGAATCATGGTCCTCAGATATACCAAAGTAAAGCTGAAAAATCCAACTAAAGGAGGGAATTAGGTGACTGTTGCAGAATCACAGAGGAACCCCCCACATGAAATGACATTATTATCATTGACATTATCAGCATGTATGATACAAACACATGAACTACAATAAAATAACATTCATGGCTTGCCTTTAGTAAGATCATAAAGCAGCCATAGCTGCCACTGTATTCTTGCAGAGTTTAAAAGAGGAAGTTCAGTGCTGGATCACCTGTGTATATGGGCATTGTCACTCACAGTGTGTGGCTGTACAAATAAGAGCAACAGCCAGAGGCCAGAGGAGAAATCACAGCTGACTGTGCTCCTGAGAAGAGAGCTGTCGCTCTTGAGCCAGGGAGAGTCCCTTGAATGCTGAGTGGAGCCTGGTCTATCTACTGCACAGAATGCACAAAAGATGTGTGTGTGTGTGTGTGTGTGTGTGTGTGTGTGTGTGTGTGTGTGTGTGTGTGTGTGTACATTGATAAGAGTAATGGTAAATGAGAAACTCGAAGGTTGGTAATATTTCTGTTCCCTCACTCAGGGAAAATCACAACCAGAGGAAAAAAGGAAAGTACTCTTAGCTCCTAATTGATTCCAGCTGCTAACATTCATTATTGTTATTAACTTAAACCAATGGCAAAACTCCAATACCTTTGAACTCCTTGCAGTTGTGTGTAATACTGGAGCCAATGCAGGAACTGATGTCGAGACATAAAACCTACAACCTCAGTCCACGCGACTGCCTCAAGACCTGCCTGTTCCAGAAGTGGCAGCGGATGGTGGCCCCGCCAGGTACACCCTTGCTCTTCACTCTTTCCAAATAGCATCTTTGGGGGATAAAAATGGAGGAGATGATTACAAATCTGTAGGCAACGTGATTTCTTAGGGATCTCATGACAAGTGTTTTGCAAATGTTCTTAGGACTGACTTGTGGGCTCCTTGCTTGCCCTGAGAAGTAAAATGATTTGCTCCAAGACTTCAGGAAAATCAGTGACAAAGCCAAACTCAGAAGCAGTGGTTCCTGTCTGCTGCTCCAAGAGTTGTTCTACAAAACAAGAGCGTGGGCCTAGAGGGAGGGAGGATAATAAAGTTTATACTATTTTTAAGTATCTTCTATCAAAAGACACTCTAGCCATGAAACAAATACATAAAAAGTTTCATTCTCCTCACTTTCCCTAGACTGTGGTTTAGACACAAAATCTCATACTGGGGTTCTGAAATTATCGCTTCAAGTCATCATTAATTGTCTCTCTATCTAATACATTTTCACTCCCAGGCCTGTGTTGAGCCTCACTGGTCATAAAAGTGAAATGTATCCATTCACTACAGATTATTTTATAAAGAGTAATTATTAGCATGAGGCAAATAGCTTTTTGAATCACAGTGGTCACCTTCTGTTGGTAACTGGCCAGGAGCACTATATAAAATGAAGATAGCACATTTAACCAAGTACATCTTCAGAAGTCTGAGAAAATATGTGCTATTTTTCATAGAATGTTGCATCCCCATTCAAGGAAAACTTTATACCTTCAGAACATTATTTTTCAGATTAGTGCAATGTTCTTCATTTTGCCTTTTCTCAAATGGAATGTTTATTCACTCTCCACTGCTTTGAACACCAACATTTTTTAACACATGACAACAAAATTAAGATATCATTTATTCATCCAATAATTACTTACTGAAGCTATTGAAGGCAAAGGCTCTGCTCTACCCACTGGGGGTGTAAACACTGGATGAAACTATTAGAAATGTTGAATTCTTGCAGTGACCTTTTGAGATCCTTATCATAATCCCCATCTCACGGTGTGGAGGTTGAGACTTGGCAGCGTTGTTATCCGAAGTTGGTCTCATGGCTAATAAATGAGAAGTGAGTCACAAAAGGCTTTGTGCCTCCAGAATTCATAGTTTTACTGCCACAGCTTCTACTACCAATGGAAGCAATACGTTTACCAAGAATTTCATAAATACGATACAAATAAATACAAGAAGTAGCCAATTTGCATTCTTAAGTCAAAGAAAGAAGACACTTGTCAGCATAGACATGGTCACTGATAGTGCCTGGAAGGACCTTCTCAGCTCCTGCGTGGACGTGCTGAGCTGGCTCTGTACCACCTACTCCTTCCGTCACCCTCCAGAACAAGTGTCCACAGCCTTATTAAAAGGGACAATAGACTCCGGTGAAAAGTTTTAGTATTAAGAAAAAGTACTTATGAAAGAAAAATATGGGAGATGTGTAGAAACATTAGATATGTAATATATGTCGCATATAACATCATATTGCAATGTAATACAATCCTTGCTTCCTCAATAAAGTCAGGCTTACCTCTGTAGACTAAGGAGGATTTTTTCCTTTTTCCTTCATAAACCATAAGAGTGTTTGAAGGCACTAGACCAAGGCCCTCTCACCTACTTTGAACATGGCTTTGGCAGGCTTCCTGTCCCATTAGAGTAAAATCTATAAGAGGGTTAGCAACATATTCAGTACCTAGCTGAGAATGGCTTTTGAAAACACCTGATTTATGAAACAAAGATGATAATAATGTGCTTGTTTAAGAAATCCTTCAGAATGTAAGCTAGTTAATGCACACACAAAAAAAATTAAGGATAATGTCTGATATTGAATAAAGTCCCATGTGAAATTAGGAGATAACAAAACTTGATGCACGCCCCCCCAGGGGTGCCCATATTTGCACTAAGGTGTTGCTCCATCCTTCTAGTCCCAAAACCTTTTTCTCTGTTGCTGAATAGGCCATTGCCGAAGAGTTTTAGCTTCCCTTCATGAATGCAGCAAGGATACAAGACTGCCACATTTCCCCAAAGCATTTTTGGAACTACTGGGCCTCATCAAACAGCAGAGTCCAAACCAGTGCCTGTTCCTGCTGAATCTGGGAACCCCTTAGCTTACTCATCTCTGATTAGAGTTACCCAAATGTACCAGAGGCAGGCTGCAATACGACACCAGGCCGGTAGGGGATGCTGTTGTGCACTGGCTAGCAGATTGAATATTCAGGCTCCAATTTAACCTCTGAGGTTTCCTAGGGATTCTAAGAATCCTTCCTTTATTATTAGGAGATCAGGAGGGAAGAGAAATCCCAAGCTTCCCAGTGGTAGTGATATGTTAAATTCAATTATGAAAGAGACACTTGTGGTTCCCTCTTTTTTTAAACAATATTTTTGTGGGTAATACCAATGTTTCCACACTAATATCATCACCCGCCCCTGCATCTGGGGTGAGGGGAGAAACAAAGGGAGAAGCCCCACCCAGCCTCCCACCCATCCCAGGTCCCCGATGTGAGGCGCGCTCCGAGGGTCCTGCTCAAGCAGTTTTGATAGTTCAACAGTTCTGAATTGCTGCCAATCTCGCCATTCCAGTTGTAATGGTGCAAGCAAAAAATTAGGCTGATTTCCTCTAGAAGGAAAGAATTTCACACCCTTTTGTGTTCAAATCAGCAGGTCTCTCCCTTTTCTTCGCAAATTTATACGAAATGGGGGGAAAGACATACACAGGCTGCTCGTCCATGGTTCTTTCTGGTGGTCACCCTGGAACTGACACTGCCACCCTTGTGCTTAATGCAGCAGAACCCACAAGGCAACCGACAACCAAACGGAGAAAAAGGAAAAATTCCACCAGCAGTACGTCCAACAGCAGCGCCGGGAACACAACCAACAGCGCGGGCAGCAAGAAGAAAACTCCAGCAGCCAACCTGAGTCTGTCCAGTCAGGTACCTGTAAGTCTCGCTTTCATTTTAGGCCTAAAATCTGCCCCCTACCCATCTCCTGACACAAAAGGCCTGCGCTGAAGTCTGCTTTAGCTGCAGGAGCCTTCCAGGCCTGTGGGGTGGTGGTGGGGGTTGGGAGGTGGCTTTGGGGATGGGAGGGGGATGGAGGAACCCTGTCCTGGAAACTTTCCCCAGCCATCTATGATGGGGAGTATTCGAAGTCAGTGCTGCAATGGGACCGGGATGAAAAAAAGCCCTCAGAGTCACAGATGGGACATACATCACTTAAACTTTACTTAAAATATCACCTAGCAACCTGCCTGGTGGGATCTGGTAACCTCTTGGTGGCAACAGGACAAACCCTGCTTGCCACAGGAAGCTGGTGTCCAGCACTCAGGACCAGAACTCTAACTTGCCTGGGCCATCCCAACATGGGCATCCCAACATGGGGCTAGGAGTCAAGTTGTTAACTCGCAGCCCTAAAAAGGAACAGCCAAGTGTGTTTCCCTTTGCCCAACTCCTTGTCTCTGGAGAGGCTCAGCCCCTAGCTCCATCTTAGCTATCTTAGTTCCATCACTTTTTCCTTTCATTTCTGGGTCTTGGCAAAGGGTGTTACTGGAACTCCGAAAGTGCCAGCGGTGGTATACCATGCAGGATCTTTCTTCCTCTCAGTGTCCCCTCTCCAACTCTGTTTCTGCCTCCTGCCTTCCATTCTGCTTGCCCTCTTTAGCAGGCCTCCAGCTGCCCTAAACATCTGCTGTCCCCTGCCCCACCATGGCTCCTTGTGGCTTTTCCTTCTTTGCCACCCCTGTCACATCACCCTGTCTCCAAGTGCTTGGCTGTTGTTTGAATAGGACACTTTCTTGGGGCTTTACCCTCTAGATACGATATATTTAGAAAGTGCACCCTACTCTCTTACTTGCAGCAACAGACTCCATTTGACCTCCATCTTTCTCACTTTCCTCCCATTTTGTCTGTGGTCCTCACCCTTCCTCTCCTGGTCCTGCTCCTTCTCTCTCCCTGCAAGAGTAGACCTCAGTACACGGGCACTCCCACTTGCTTCTAAATGTGCCCTTTCCAGTATTTCTCCACCCACTTTTCATAGGTCAGTACTCTGAGGGCCAAAACCAAGCCCATCCACCCCCCGAAAATTCCATACACAACTGGGACTGCTCCCATCCTTCCTAGACAGGGAGGGAGAAGGAAAGAGCTCCTGGAGACACTGGGCAACCTGGAAGGAGCCATCTTCATGTCAAGACCGCTAGGACTCATGGGTCTTGGGCAAAGAAAAGAGTCTTCAAATGACCCTCTGGTTACACCAATCACCTCCCTGAAGATCAAGGGCAAAATCTAAGCAGAAGAGATGAATTTGTTTATTAAATTTCCAACAGCTATGCCCATTCCTGGTTAAGTTGGGAAATGTGTAGAAAGAATAATTGGATGTATGGAAATTGAGCAATAAAGAGCTCACCAGTAGCCCATTCACTCTCTTAATTCTGGAGTTTCAGAAACTAACATTTGTCAGCTTCCTGTAGCAAAGGAGTGAAGTGTTTTCTAGAGAATTCTGGAGCCATGGCATTGCTACTGAAGGGCACAGTCACAGGGCTTAGATCCTTAGACCGCGAAAATATGTACGATCAGCATGAACCCATTTAGAAGAATATACTAAGAATTTTAAATCTTTTGGAATTAAAAAAAAAAAAGAATTCAAGCATTTAACAAATGTTTTCTGCGCTCCTCTTACGTGTTCCAGGCTATTCTAGGTATTTGTAATACCAGGATTTAACAACAGCTTAAAAGAACCACGCCCTGTCACTGAAAAGATCCCAGGCTAATTGAGGGATGGCGAAAAGGTATCCTAGGATTCCAAGACCTGAACTGGGGTTAGTAGGTCATCCATTAGTGATGCCTGCCACAGGTACAGAATTTGAGAGTGGCAGCCCACATGTGCATTTTAAGACTTACCTGATCTCGTCAGTCATTTCAATTCTTTTATAGAGCGTGTTTTTAAAATATACTATGTTATGTTCCTGTCCTCTGAACCAATAATTACATTTTGGTGATAATTCTCTGTCTCCAGGGGTCTTTTAGTAAGCTGTGACCTTGGAGATCCTTTAGGAAATCATAGCTGAATTTCAGCACTATGCTTACACTTGGAGTTGGAATCAAATAAAGCTTGCAAATGAGTCAAGGCAAGGAGACAATAAGGCTGGGAAAACAGGCCAATTCCTAGGTGTTCTCGAGTTGAGTGGTGTTGAATGATCAGCACAAGATGGCCTGGAGTGGTCACAGCTTCTAGCCCTGTCTTTGGACCATCAATAAACTCTTACTAGTGGAGTAGAGGATCCCTTGCAGGCATTAGTGGCTTGGGCCCTTGACCGTAGCTGTGGTTTGTGGTGTGTGTGTGTGTTGTGGCGGGGACAGGTTTAGGGTTTAATCATTGGCTTCTGCTTCTCACTCCATGAGCAGGGGCTAGGAGCGATCCCGACCTGCAGCCTCAACCCTGGGAGGGATGGAGACCTGTGTCATTCAACAGCAGTGACCCCTTCTGGCCAATTTAAGGAGAAGCATTGAGGGGCCCTGAAAGGAGTCACTTCCAGTCCTCCTCAGAGGTTGGTGGTCCTTGCACGGGGGATGAGTGAGAAAACAGAGTGGGGAAAGGCTGGTGGCATCTCAAAGCGGGCTTTGTGGGGGAACTAAGGGTATATGAGCTGCACTCAGGGGGATCCCTGTTGCCTTCTTGGGGACACACAGGACAGAGATGGGAAGGAAACACACTCTCACTCCAGCTGTGGAGATTCCTAAAGACCTGGAGGTGTGGGGGATGTGATGCTAACACCCCCAAAACAGAGGTAGCCTGGCCTTGCCCCATGTCTGCATTTGTTTTCTGTGGGAAAAACAAAGAGCAGGGTGTCCTTATCCTGAACCTGACCTTTGGAAGAACCACACGGAAACACGTGCATCGTCCGTTGGTGACTTCTGGTTTCTGTGTGCCTATGAAATTCTTTATGTGTGTCTCTTTAATGACTTGTCATTTGTCAGTCACACACACACACACACACACACACACACTGTTATGTTCCATCCAGGAGTATCTTGTGATCAGGAAAGCAAACGTGACATCTCTTTGAGATTCAGGGTACTTAGGAATACCTCTTCCTGGAAATCCCTTCCAGTTGTTTCTGGAACAGCAACAAAAAACTTACTACCCATTTCAAGCCTGTGTGAACCCCACTGGAAATGATTCGAACCACCATTTTCATAGCACTTTTCTGGAAAGGCTCTTATTTTCTAACACGAACGCATCTGCAGTAGTGGCAACTTGTCCTCTAACATGCTTCGGTTCGCTGCTTCTTATTTTCCTATGCTATTTTCAAACCAGGCTCATCTCCTCCAACTCTGAGCCTCACTGTTGACCTTGGAGACCCACACAGAAGGCTCCCACACCTTTCTCCTGTCCCAAGGAGCCGAGGCTCTTCAAGGCGTGCTGGGGAGAGGCGGGACATGACATGAATGTCCATGCCGTGCTCCAGACAGTCTCACCCCATTTCTTCCACCCTCCTTTGACTCCTGATCATCATCATTGTGCTCTCCTAATTGCCTGTGTCACTGAGGGGCACTTTGTTCCAGTCAAGAACATCCTCAACAGTCATATGGCAGCTTTCCAGCCGGCCGAATAACCTTTCCACGTCACCTCCCACCATCATTTTTGCCAAGGGCAGTGTCTGTTTTGCATGTCACCTGAAACAGCCTTGTGAGTCTCCTTACATGTCAGCATCGTTTCTGGTTCTTCATTGCCTAATCAGTGTGTTCTTGGAAACCATCAGCTCAGTGCCCCACAGGTACTTCCATGGCTGTGTTGACCAGCTCACGTGTGAGGCGTTTACTCTATCAGGGACATTTAAAAAAAAATCATTTTTGTCCATGCCCTGGAATGCCTAAGTTAGAGAAGCATGACTCGGACACCTATGAACTGCCTTCCCTCATTGGGGGCGGGAGAATAAATAACCAAAATCACATTCCCATCCCAAAGTGGACTCGGTGGCAATTAAGAGATTTTTCCACTGGGATCCTTCTGATTCTAGAATGGACATGGATATCCTTCTAGACCTTCTCCTGACCATAGGTTCTACTAACCTGTCCAGGAACCCTCCTCTCCATGGGCTGCCAGGGAAAAGAATTTTTTTATGCATTCAGTCCAGGCTTTTGCTTGAGTCAGCCTCCCTCACAAGAAACACCTCCTTCCCTGTGCAACAGTGTCCATCCCATCACGCCTTCTTCTTTTTTCCTTGGAGACTGAGAGCAGTTGCTCATTTTCCTGGAGTCTCTGCACTTTGGAGTAGAATACTGCTCAGAGCTTGGCCAGAACCATGTGCCCCGCTGGGACCCTGTCTCTAGCCCAGGTCACCCGTCTACCCCATGGGGTTTCCTCTGAACAGAGGCCAACACTGTGCCCAGAGTGCACATCCTCCCAACCCACCCCCCCCAGTCCCTGTGCCTCTCCAGCTGTGGCCTCCACAATTCTCACAGTTCCAGTAGGTGGCTTCCTTGTTTGCACAAAAGGACAATTTGTGCTGAACAGGAGTGATTAGAGGGATTCTTCTCGCTCGCTTCTGTGTCTGATGGCGATCAGCATCGTCCATGTAATTATAATTAGCGCTCTTCATCTTCCTTTATGGCACCAGCTGGACACACTGGTTTCTCTTTCCTGCCCAGATTGGTAGCAGGGTTGCCTGTGTGGGGATAGGTGACAGGCACCATGAAATAACAGATGGTAAATTCAGGGCTTGTTGGCAATCAGCAGGTTTTTGCTAATGACTTAATTAGCTATGCAAATTGTCAAATCAGTGTGAACATTGTTTTTATCGAAAACTTTACCTAAATTAATTACCATAATTAAGTAGCAGAATGTCAAGGATATTGGCTGCATAAAAGGGCCTGGCTGAGTAGAGAAAAGAGAGATTCTGTCTTCAATTAAAATGTATACCATCTTTGGGACAGAGAAAATCCCATTTGGAATGAGTTGTGCGAATATGGCAGAACTGCACCTTCCGCGGGTCCCGCTGGCCGCTAGTCTCCAGAGAGGCTCTCAGCCCATCAGTACAAGTGGCGGCTTTTGGGATGGATTGCACAGCACCCAGCAGAAGGTTCCACAGCCCTCTCCAGAGTCCCCAGTGTCAGCACGTTCCAAGCGTGGATTTTTTTAATTTTGAAAAATCCATTTTTTTATTTCTGCAGATTGCTAGCATTGCTCGTTCTCCGGTGTCAGGCTGCGCACTAAGGACATAAACTCGCGTGGTTGTTACACATCAGGAGGCGATGTTTAGTTCCCGTAGAAATCACATTTGCGTCTCGGCCCCCGACATTGAGACTTGACCCTGTTGTCTGTCCTAGATCCCCCAGCTCCTCCCACTGTTGTTTTAAGCTGAGCTTCTCTCTCCCAAGGTTTCCCTGTAATAATGTCAGCTGCTGTTCACAGGATGTGATGGTGGTAGGAGAGCCAACTCTGATGGGAGGTGAGTTTGGGGACGAGGACGAAAGGCTAATCACTAGATTAGAAAACACGCAATATGATGCGGCCAACGGCATGGACGACGAGGAGGACTTCAACAATTCACCTGCCCTGGGGAACAACAGCCCGTGGAACAATAAACCTCCTGCCGCTCCAGAGACCAAATCAGAAAACCCCCCACCCCAGGCTTCCCAATAAGACCGGCGGGATCGATCTCGGTCGGCACCTGAATCCACTGTCCATAGGTCCCATCGCAATCTTTACTTACAGGAGAGGAAAGAGGAGAGATGGGAAAAAAGTTTCAAGCAAATACCTGTTTCTAAACCACAGTGATCTGACTTTTTTTTCTTTGTTCTGTTTAACTGAGAGGAGCATTCCAAAAACGCTTCAATGACCGTTCCTTACAAGCCTTCGCGGGCTCTACAGACACAGGCACTGAAAAGAGAGAAAAGGCGTGCGCGTCTCCTGGCGCGCTGCGGACTGTGGGCTCGGGCTGAGTTCCTTTCCATGCATCCACCAGATTGTCCACCCGTGCCCAGTGCTCAGGATCCCGATCATAGCCGAACCCAACTACAGATGACTTTTTAATCCTGTAAAATATTTTCTGCTTTTTGACTTGCATCTGAGAGTTTCTTGTTTCAGTAAAAAAAGAAAAGGAAAAAAAAATCAGCTTTGGGGAAGTAATTTAAATGTATCTTTTTCCTTCGCTTCTTTACATTTTCTTTTATTGGGCAGCAGTGAAGAGGGCCCATCCGGGTAATTCATGGTCAAGGTGATGTTGATTGGTTTTTGAGTCTGAGTTTTGGTTCAATTTAGCCCAAGTGCTGAAACAAGAAATGTCTTTTTGTCCCTGGGGACACCAAGACAGAATGTTATGTAAAGAGGCCAACTGGACCTTGGGGATTTGTATGCATTTATGAAGTTGCTGTTGATGCAAATACTTCAAGCCATGTAATCCATTAATTTAGTGGGCAGTTTCATAAAGCTGAAACTTTTTTAAAATTTTCATTGTATCTGAGTTGATCGTTCTTCCTTTTCATAGTATATTTCTTGTATAATATTTTGTAAAGCATTTACCTGGCTCTTTTACGGGGACTTTTCTGTTTGGGCAATTCCAGTGTATTTATGTGAAACTTTCTAAGATAACTAATTTTTCCATTGGCATATTAATATGTTGCTCCACTCATGTAAAGACACAGTGGTTCTGTGTGTTATAAAACAGCTGTATTTTATGTATGCTTTACTGGTAAGTGTGCCAATAATAAACTGTGTTAACGACCAAAGCAAGTGAATCTGTTGGTTTGTGTGAGTACATGCACACACAGCAATCTGTCCACATTTGTGAGAGGGGTTGGGCTTTGAGTTCATGGTCAAATCCCACAAAAGCTGCATGGGGGCCAAGGCCACGGTACTACCCGTTGTACACTGGGACCGACCACACTCACACAGAAGCTATGCAAAATAGTTTGAGGCCTTACAGGAAGGTGGCAAGAGATGACAGAAGTCTTTGCACACTGCTCAGGAGAGCCGCACAAGGCAGGCTGTGCCTTGCTCTGCAGTAAGAAGCCCCAGAAAGCCACCTGCCTTGAGTTTTCTAGCTTTGGGCCATGCCCTACACTGGGTATGACTTTTGAGGGGTATCTGAGTCCATTTCTTGTTGCTATGGCAGAATAACACAGACTGGGCAATTGATTGAGAAGAAATTTATTTCTTACCACCTGGAAGCTGGGAAGTGTAATATCAAGGTGCTGGCACAATGCAATAGTCTTCTTGCCATGTTAGTACATGATGGAAGACTAGAGCTTATAGAAATACAAGTGTGCGAGAGACCAACAGGCAACTGAGCTCATCCTTCCCTCCGGAAGCTGTTCCCACGTCAATCCCCCCATCCTGTGACAATGGCCCAACGGCACTCATGAGGTCAGGGATGTGGTGAGCTAATCACCTCTACAAGTCTCAGGCTATCACAGCAGTCCTGCCACACCTCAGGTTCATACTGACTGCCAGGATGAACCACTACCGTTGGCTTTCAGTCATAGCTGCTCAGCCTGGATTCATGCACAAAGCAGCTAGGCTTTGGCCCAGAGGACCCAGCTTCAAATCTCCCCTCATCACTTATTAGTTGTGTGACAAAGCGTGTCATGTAAACCACTTGAGCTTCAGTCAGCACATCTCTAAATGTGGCCCACAGTACTTACTTCCAAAGGGAGTTATGAAGACAGATGAAGAGCATGGGTGTATTGGATATGGAGCTGACAGCAGCCACTCAGGTACAGTGAGTAAACAAAACAAATTGAGAGCCCAAGCCAAGGAGCAGCTGGATGGTGCTCCGACTTACAGCCAACCAAGGAATCAGGAGTGAGCTGACTGTTGTTCCATTTCATTTGTTAAAGAGAAGTAAGAAACTATAAGTTTTGTGGGAAATTTTACCTCTGTTGGGAAGCAATTAGAAAACTTTAGCAAAGGTGTGTAGGCCAGCGGTGAGAGATTGGATTCCCAGGTGTGTACTTGTAGATCTGTCGGCCATGGCCTCTGCCAGCAGTGGTTGTTAGTTTAGTCAATGGATGTAGCACGGCAGGCGTGCATGTGTGTGATCTGGTGTAGCTTCTTTCTGTTCTGCTGCTTTCCAAGAAAAGAACATGCATGCGATGAGCCGCCTCTGTATTAGAGACATGAGGACTAGGCCTGAGGCAGAGGAGTCCTGCTTGACTCATATTTCATGAGTGAGAAAAAGGCAATGTTGGCTATTTCAGGCTGTTGAGATTTTGAGATTATTACAGAGCAAAGCCAACTGATAGAGGTGTAAGGTAAGTTGGGGCCAGATAGCATTGCCTACATGAGATAACAGCGGGGAGCACACTGGTGGAGTGAGGGTTATAGTAACAGTCACCCTTTGGCATTGTTAGACATTTAATAGGCATGAGAATATTGAGTCATTGACAGTTTAGTTCATTCTTCTTTGTTTGTTTTATGAAACAGTTCTATAGGATTTCTTGTCTGCCTCCCCACGCACCCTCTCCTCTTCTACATTTTCCTCCCCTTCTATGATTTTTCTTCTATATTACAATGGGTGGTCCTTCATTGTTCACGCTTCTGTAGCAAATAGTGCAGATGGAGCGGCTTATTATCCTGAGTTTCTTTCACTGTTCTGGACACACTGAAAGTCTGGGATGATGCTCCCTCCAAGGTTGGGGTTTCTCTTCCCTGTTTCAGACTGCTGGCTATTTCTTGCATCCTCTCAGTGCTGAAAGAAAGGTCTCAGGGCTCCCTATTATGAGGCCATATACTTATATCAGGCATGAGATCCCATGGGACATAACCATCTAGTGCCTAACAGCCCAGTGAGGGGGCCGTCCTCTTTTGTGTAGTTGGGACACAGTGCAGTTAAACAATCAGCTCAGCGTTGTGATGGTCACAAGTGGCGCCATGCCCCTGGGCCATGTGTTTCCTGGTTTAGCAGAGTTTCAGATAGGCTCCGCCTTTCCGGCATTCGCTAGCTATTTGAGCAGTGTTGTCAGACAGTATGTCAGAGAGCAAGACTATCTGTTTACTTGGAAATGTAGCATGCAGGGAGGCCCTGATTAGGACCTTGAACTCCCAAGGGCATCTGACAAGGGATTTATAAATCAGTGGCCCGGTCCTTGCAGAAAATTCTTCCTTTCTCCATTTCTCTTTAACCTTGGGGTGAACATTTAATGCAACTGGATAACATAACCCACACAGGTCGTATATGGGCTAGAATGTGGCAGAAACAGTTTTCAAGATCAATTTCCCTAAAGCAGAGTGCGCAGCAACCTTAGGAAATTTATCTTATGATGGGTTAGCTCCTCTATCATTCATAAGAAAAACATTAGCAGATTTCTTCTCATCGTAAAGTAATGCATACTGATTATACATCATTTGAAAAGGAAAAAGAAAATAAATTCACCACCCTGAAAGGAGCATTTCTAGTATTCTGATGCATATGCTTCCAGTCTTTCCTTCTTAGCTCATTCGTAGGACTTCAAAATGTCCATGGAAAACTACAGGATAAGCTTGAGAGCAAAAACATTTTGAAATTCATACAGATAAGGAACATTCAGAAAGTTCGTGGAAAAAAATACACATCATGAAAAAAAAAACTACTTCTCCAAATATGATTGCATCAAAGTAAATTTGTATTTTAATCCCATTTCTCCATAAACTTGTTGAAGGGCTCTCACACATTGCAACACTGGCCATCTATAGAAAAGAGAATTACCTATCACGACCCTTTGGTTATAGAATATATCGTGAGTCTTCTTGTTAACTACCCCTTAAAACATGATTTTAGTTTCTATATAATCTCCACTAATAGAAATAGCCTAATTTATTGTCCGATTTACTTCTGAATGGCCCCACTCCCTTTGTATACCAAATTAAAATTGTATAATCATTAGTCATCTGGTAGGAAGTTGGTAAAACTTTGATAAATCAAGATTCACTTATTGGTACTCAGTGAGAGCCACTATTATGAGCTTTTTAAGAGATTCCTATTCCTGATGCCAACCTTCCAGGTGCTTGTAATTAACCTGGGACAAAGGACAAGTGCTTACCACGCCAGCTGAGCACACAAGACTGAGTATCCTCTACATGTCAACAACACAGAGAGGAAAAGCCCTCAGAGCTTAAAGACATCAGGGTGAAGTGTTTTGCATTTCGTTTGATATTCACTGAAAACTGGAGTGGCAAGGTGCAAGCACATTATATATGAAGTCCACAGAGGTGGAAGGTCCAGTTGGCCCAGTTCATGACTCCAAGTCTGACTCCTCACTCAAGCCACAGGAATTTCCTGGAGAAGGGGCAAAAGCTGTGACTGAACATCTTCAGGAAACACGTCGTGGCAGAGGAGGGGCAGTAGTCAAACTGATACCGACAGGCAGATTGGAGGGGGTGCCTCTCTGTCCCTCTCACCTCCTTCATCCACTGATAGAGCAAGACAGTGTCTCTGAGGGCTGGAAGTTCAAAAGAGTGTGTGTTTGTAGAAAACCTCATGTGCTGTTGGTGTTCATATAAAAGAGGCTTTGCAAACTTGCATGCACGGAGCTGTAAAAGCTCCTAACACATTACTCATACCAGTCATGAAAAGCCATTCTCTCTCTCTTTTAATTCTTAATTTCCTGACAAAGGTCTGCAAGCTTTGGGGGTTTGCACCCTCTGCTATGTTGTCATGAGTGTCCCAGTGCTTTCAGAGAGATCCTCAAAAGTTTGCAAACAAGTGTGAAATTGTTTCAATCCCATAGCCTTCTGAAGCCAGGATGAAGTCCCTTTTATCCTTTGTAGAAAGGAAATTTTGAAAATCCTATGGGATCAGACAAGCTCCGAGTCCTTGCCTTTCCCACCTTCACACTATGTCACAGCAACAATTTCTCAGGCAGAAACTTTGAGGGCTTGTCACTGTTTTTTCTCTCAGATAAGGTGACCAGCCTACCCGACCTTGCCAACAGTCCTAGGTTAGTACCAAACAACCCACGGGCCTGGAAACTCCTGGATTATGGGCACACCTGCCCGTGCATGTAGCAAAATAGAGAAATGTACAATCACAGCAGTAGATGCTCTACACAGACAGACTTCAACGTCATCATTCCATGCTAGCATGCTAAGACATTCAAGAAGATGGCCAAGTACTTCCGGAAGTAGCAGAGCTAAGACCTGACCTGGCCATGGCCATCTACATATCCTGTGCTTTCTCTGCTGCATCCATGGTTGTGAATTTTCATTTTAATTATGACCCCAGTATGTGCAATAGATAAAGTTGGCTGACAAAGAACAATCTGGCATCAGCAACCATGAGACCCAAAGCAGGTCCTGTGGAACCAGAATTCTGATTTTACAACCAAGCTATATGCATACCTCTCCTGCTACCATCCGATTCAAGGGCGGAGAGCCCTCAAGACGGCTCAGTCACACAAACACTGCAGAAACTGCACACACTGTTGAAACTGAGGGCTTTCAACCGGCTGCCAGAGGGTATTCTGCTTAGCATGATGCAAGTCTGTTTCCATTTGTGATGCAGCCTAGTTCAGCTGCTTGAAGGGCTTATCTGAGGCTCAGTTCAAGGAGGGGAAAGAAATATCTTTGGCTACTTTTGACTTCAGTCCAGTTATTCCAACTACTGGATTTGGGCACATGGGTTTACCAAGTGAAACCTGGAAGATTCTTTACAAATCACTAATGTTGTTGTTTTAGAGGCCATGGAAGGAATCTCCAGGATACCTTCCACGCTTTACACATTTCTTACTACAGAACTCAGAGGA